CTCATATTTAGATAAACTACCCTCTTTCAGTTTAAATCAAACAAAATTTATTATGAGAATCCCACACAAGTCGCGAGCCGCGGGTGAAATCTATTAAGTGATATAAGAATTAATTATGTATATATAACCCGTGTACGCAGTCGTATACTTTTACAGGTTTATTCTTAGACGGCTTTACAAAGTGTTTCTCGTTAGTAATACATCCAAGTAGTTAACATCGTACTTTTACTCATTCGTTAAGATATTAAACGTACAATAAATTTCTCGAACCTATTTACATGATGGACAGTACTAAAAGCACATAATTAAGACATCATTTTCACTTTGAGCTTACGCCGTATTAATTTTTATGGACTAAATGCAACTATATAAATATTTCTACAGAATTAGCAAGACAATTTTCTTTCTCACACGAATGTTTGTAATAATGTAACAAGTAGTAAAGCAACTAGGTACAGTTATCTATAGCTAAAACTTATGATGTATATCTGTAAATAGTATAAACAAAATCACCATTCCTGTCTGTCTGTTTGTGCGTTTACTTCCTTTAAACTATAAGCAAAATATTTTAATGCGAGTTTTAACATAATATTGGGAATATAGATACTTGTATATTACAGTACACATTACATCCAAGTTATCTAGACTTTTAAGTCTTTGAGAAACTTCTAAATAGGATTTACGCTAGTCTATTCTAATACACTAGCGTAAATCGTATGTTATCTCCTATTCTTATATATTTCATTAGGTCTTGGAAAGACCTACAAATACGGTGAACTTTTTTTCACGTGTTTGGTTCATTAGTTAACTGTCACTTCGTTGACATGTACTAATTTCAAATTGTTTTCTAAAGATAACTCACATCAACCATTTTTGTCTTTTAAATTGAATCAAAAATAATAAGTCCTTTGTGATGGTGTTTTGGCCAAAATGGTAATATTTAGTTACATTAAGCAATCAATTTAGATCAAAATTATACCTTACACCATGTCCTCATAATGAATATCTTAGGAGATATCACAAGTTGAAAAATTACTCGCAAGAACGGTAGCACAAACGCCTCCTGGCGGACGGTGAGTGCCTGTAAATAGCGCGTCGCGAGCCGCTCCATAGCACATGAAGCCGCCCCATAGCACATGAGTAAATAACCAGAATAGACAAAGCTTCTAAAATAGCAGCGAATGCAGCTGATTTGAATTTCTATTTGATATTTCTTTGAAATACGAAGTCAGCACGCACTAAAGGAACGCAGTGAAGTGCGGCATCTACCCAACGTATATTATATAGTACATTATTAGGTTGTTATTAACTAAATAACTCATAGTTTTTTAAAACAATTTTTAACTTCCCGCTACGAAAATCAATGATTCTCAAAAACTCGAGAAGTTATTGGCTTCACCTCGGTTTTATCCATATGTCTGTATGCATGTTTGTGTGTGTGTGTGTGTGTGTGTGTGTGTGTGTGTGTCTGTTTGTTTGTGTGTGTGTGTGTGTATGGGTGTGTGAATGGGTGTGTGTGTGTGTGTGTGTGTGTGTGTGTGTGTGTGGGTGTGTGTGGGTGTGTGGGGGTGTGTGTGTGTGTGTGTGTGTGTGTGTGTGTGTGTGTGTGTGTGTGTGTGTGTGTGTGTGTTATGGAAACGCCTCATAACTTTGTAAAGGAGATTTTCTGAGAAAACCTCAAAAAATCGTGTTTTTATAATATTCAATAAGTCTTTTCTTTAGAATTACTTCGACACCTCAAACTTTGATCAACTCTTTAATCTAATCAACTCTTCTACTCAAAAACGACGTCGATTTCCGTGAATCGCATCAAAATCGGTTGATGCGTTCGAGATATAGCATTGTCATTGTTTTTCTTGCGTGGTAGAGCCATTCTGCAGCTATATTAATAATATATTTGTAGCACGAATGGGTCGGCTCGACCGGGGAAGGGCCACGCTCTTACAGAATACCAGCTTAAAATAGCAGCCTAACGCTGCTGTGTTTCGTATGGTGAGTGTAGAGAACCGGAGACCCTTTTTACTGGAAATGAGGCATTCCATCTTACGGGTGATCTGCATTTTGATTTGTAATAGAGGATAGATGTAGATATCTATGGGTCACAACCACTTACCATCAGGTGGACTGTGTGCTCGTTTGTCACCCTTATCCTAGAAAAAAAATTGTCGAAAGAAATCGCGGAAAAGTGTCTCGTATTTTCAAAATAACGACGTTTTTGAACTCAAAGAGCTCGAAGAACTCAAAAACGTCGTAATAAGTGAAATTAGAAGCGCTTTGCATTTGAAATTAGCGGGAAGTTGCAGGAGTAGTATATAGAATAAGGGTGGCAAACGAGCACACAGTCCACCTGGTGGTAAGTGGATGCTAAGGCTATTTTCGATTAAAATTTTAAATACAAATACGCTGCCACCCCTGAGAATTAAGACACTCACCATACGAAACACAGCTGCATTAAACTGCTATTTTTCGCTGGTATTCTGTGAGAGCGTGGTCCTACGCCGGTTGAGCTGACCCATTCGTGCTACAGCGATTACATTATTCTTATTTATTAAAGATTCATAAAAAGAAGCTTGGTAAGAAATTAAGCGCACGCCTAAATCTACCTCACCTCATTGTTTTTAAAATAAAATATTCTTGAAGCTTTGATTCATCCTTTTGTTGTTATTAACTTTAGCTAAACAATGCAAGGCTCATCAATCGTCCGATGTGTCAAAATTTTCGTGCTACTGCAAATTCGTTAACCATCATTAGGTGGAGCTTTTAGCGATTCCGAATTTCGAAGCTTATTAGCGATGATGATGCTTACACATAAAGAAGTAAGTTTCCCACGGGAAAAAAGCCATAATTACCTTTTGCTTTTGGTGTTAAAACAAAAGAACTTATTTCTGCATGATGATACGAAAGACCGACTTTGAAATTGAGTGAACGAAGAAAATGGATCAGTGCCACGCGTACATACGTATAATTTTTAATAAAATAAAACTGCCTGAATATTTTGATCCAGTTTTTGGATATTAGGTACACAAAATACACATAAACATAATTGGCCTTATTACAAAAAGTAATTTATAAACAGGTAAATAAAGTAAAGTAAGAGCCTATATACGTCCCACTGCTGGACACAGCCCCCTCTCATATCTGGGAGGGTTTTATGGCAACGAAATAACCGCCGCACTACCCCAAGTTTAAACCAGTGTGAAGTAGAGGTTTTTATCTCTGCGTTTCGCTTGGTGAGTGCCCGTGGCCGGAGGCCTTTTTTACTGGAAATGAGGCATTCCATCTTAGTCCTCACGGGTGACAACGCATCTACATTTTGATTTGTAATAGAGGATAGATGTAGATGTCTATGGGCCGCAGCAACCACTTACCATCAGACGGACTGTGTGCTCGTTTGTCACACTTATCCTATAAAAAAAGAAAAAAAAAATCGCGTTATCAAAATTCACATATCTTCGAAATAATTTTTTTATTACTCAGACATGCAGGTTTTCTCACGATGTTTTCCTTCACCGCCAATCACATGGTAAATCAGCAATTAAAATTCCAATTAACAATTTCATTGCTACCGGCGGGAATCGAACCCGAGTTGCTCGCGTACTGTGAAATTTACAGTAAGCACTTAGCCACTAAGCTACCACGGCTTTGATGCTGTTGGGAAGACCGGCCGTGGCGAGGGGCCGAACTCTATCTTCGCTGTATTGTCATGTTCTGTCTCTCTACTTCGTGTATTCACTTGTTAATATTAATCTCGTTAATCACCACTTCCAAACCAATCATCGATAACAACCACGTTTTATAATAAGACCCAATATGTTAGGTACATAACCTATTGGTTAATGTTAATAATAAATAAATAAACCTTCTTCTTCATCAGCTGCCCGTAAACTGCTGGACATTTTCAGGAGAGAGCTGGAGGATTTGCCTTCATCGTCACACTTTGCAGGAGTGATTTTATACGTGGTAGAGCTATGCTGTAACTATATTAATAGTATAGTTATAGCACGAATGGATCGGCTCGACCGGAGTAGGACCACGCTCTCACAGAATACCAGCGTAAAATACCAGCTTAACACTGCTGTGTTTCGTAAGGTGAGTGTAGCGAACCGAAGACCTTTTTTACTGGAAAAGAGGCATGCCATCGTAGTCTTAACGGGGACAACGCATCTGCATTTTGATTCGCAAACGAGGATAGAGGTAGTGTATGGGTCACAGCAACCACTTACCATCAAGTCGACTGTTTGTTCGTTTGTCACCCTATCCTATAAAAAAAGTGACAGTTACAGTACCTATGATTTTCCGCATCTATAACCCTGTTTCTCGTCTCGTCGTTTTAGAACAAAAATTATTTAAAATGTTTAAAAATCGACATTGGTTTTATTACATCAATTTTTGCTGGTGAGGATGTAAGTGATTGGAGAATCCTTTATTCCCATGTCATTCCGTGGTTGTCGTTAGGAGCACATGTGGGAAATGCCAGAAAGATATCATGACTCCCTGGCGGAATAATCAGCTTGTATAAACCAGATGTAAAATATTCTGAACGGCGTCAGAAAGCAGTATCAGCGAAACATCCTGGTAAGCGCTAGAGTGGTGATCATAATAAATCCCTCCTACTGTAATCGGTCGTATATTCAGCACCAGACCACTACGGTCTGATTAAGTTGAGAACTACATATTTATTAGCCCGAAGAATTAGTATGCTGAAGTGGCAAAGGGCCGGCCATATAGCTCGAAGAATCGACAACCGATGGGGAAGAAAGGTTCTCGAGTGGCAGCCTCGTAGCGGCAGGTGAAGTGTAGGACGTCCCCCCGCTAGATGGAGTGACTACCTGGTAAGACATGCAGGAAGTCAATGGAAGCAGGTGGTTCGGCACCGTGCTTTGTGGCATTCCTTGGGGGAGGCCTATGTTCAGCTGTGGACTTGTGAAGGAATGTAATGATGATGATAATTATACATATTTATAAATTTATAATTTAATTTAAAAAGCATATAGACTTACCAGCTGCTATATTTCCGACGGCTCGTGTTCTTCGTTCGCCAAACGATCATTATCAAATTCACAGCACTGTCACTGTCATAGATGTGAACACAACACAATTGTCACCTTCTGTCTCTGGTGTTGGAAGTGCTATTGTCACCGAACATATCCCTTTTATGTTGTGCCGCTACACTGGTTTAGCCAGAGTGCAGACTGTCGTTATCTGTAACCAAGGAAAAACATTGTTTTTACATATCCAGTCCAGCAGGTCTATTCTTTCATTCTTTTTCGTTTCCTTTTAAAAAATGTTACCCCAAACTAGGATTTTCGCTTATATCGTGCAGGCAGCTTACAAGCATAATTTGTACAAGAACAAACATCCAGACCCGGAACAATTATTTGTAGGCCGTACAAATACTTGTTGCTTGGAGGATTCAAACCCGCGGCCCTCAGTGCTGCAACTCAACGGCTCCGTGGCGCAGTGGCATGGCGTTTATGAACTCTTATACAAAAACTACATAGCATACAACGCAGTAAAACTATTTTAATCACTTTGTAATACAAAGTGATTAAGTATAATTTTGATGTCAAAATGCTAGCCTCCTAACTAAAATAAATGTTATTTATGAAATCATTTTCCAACTCAAGAAAGCTTTGTAAAACTTTTAATTTTTAATCCTGTCAGAAAGGACAAATCATATGTAACCTACATTACGATTACTAACTTTACTTACTTTATTACCAATAATTATTTTTAAAGCATTTTTTTTATTCTACATTTCTACACATCGAATAAAACTATTTTTTGCATAATAGAATGAATTTAATTTTAATACTGTGTCTACCAATAATAAATAAATAAGTGTAAAATTAATGCTAAGAAATTAGTTTTATTTAATATACAATATTTTATAGTTATTATTTTTTTATTATAGTTTTTAATATTGTTTTATTTAATTACATTTTGTACATACGAGTTTGAAATAAGAGTTTATGACAAGATTTTTTTATATAGGATAAGGTGACAAATGAGCACACAGTCTACCGGATGGTAACTGTGGCCAATAGACATCTACATCTATCCTCGTTTGCGAATCAAAATGCAGATGCCTTGTCACCTGTGAGGACTAAGATGGAATGCCTCTTTTCCAGTAAAAAGGGTCTCCGGTTCTCTACACTCAACATACGAAACACAGCAGTGTTAAGCTGCTATTTTACGCTGGTATTCTGTGAGAGCGTGGTCAATTGTGCTACAACTATACTACTTACATAGCTGCAGCATGGCTCTTCCATGTTTAAACAAAAAAGAAGTAATAAAAAAGACCTTGTCACCTCATAACTCCTTTTCTGCCTACCTGCAGCTATATTCCGCATTAAGGGTAAGATCATTAAAATTAGTAATTTTAAATTTTTTACTAGTTCTCAAGGCATATATGGCTTTCTTTGCTAAGGTGGGTTTCAGTTGTCCATTCTAGTGTCCATGTTTAAAATTACATAAGAATCATTGTTTTCATTTTAAGTTCTACGAAATAATAATATAATTAAAAACCTCATAAAGTTTAATTTTGATACTTCTGTAAATAAAAACCCTCTTAAATTTGCTTTAGTCTAAATCGAGTAAAATGAAAAATATTTTAATAATGCTTTTTTAAACTTAAACATTGTATTAAAAAAAGGAACATGATTTGGATCAGTTTCGGCAACTCGTGAGGATCATTAGAGGCTATAAAAAATATACGCCGCATGTGGAGAAGCCTACTTGTGTGGCTTATATTACGTACAATGGGCTTTCGCGGCATGAGAAAGTGTTTTAAGCCAAATATAAAATTACAATACTTTTTAAAATACCGTAAGCAAGTTTAATTCACATATACAGACTTTAAAGGTCTCCAACTGCTCAAATGTTTGATAAAATCAGGCTTCATATGTTTAAATTTGACTCCATATGAACTTGAACAACACACAAAACGTTTTAGAAGTAAAGGCGCATTTGAAAAAAGTAAAGATGTTGAATTATGTTGTAAACTTAACTCTTTACTAGTTTAAATTCTAATTCGTTTAATAAAATATGCACTTTATTGATTTTTACTCAATAATCTCGGTTTTTAATTTTGAGTAGTAATTACGCTTCTTTATATTTAGTATTATTATTTATAATTAGAAGTTGTTATTATTACATTTCCATTTGAAGTTATTTTCGAAAACAGTAAGTTGTTTTAAATGTAGTGTCGTTGTAGTAGTTCTTTATTTCTGTTTCTCTTTTTAAAACTTTACCCCATACTAGAATTTTCTCCTGTATCGTAGAAGCAGTTTACATACATAAATTGCACAAGGACAAATATCCAGACCCGAAGAAATTATTTATAGGTCTCACTTGCACCGTGCGGGATTCAAACTCGCGGCTCTCAGAGTTGCAAGTCAATGCTAAGCCACGAAACCGTCAAATCACATCACTTAGATTTAATAGCTTATAGTAGGCAATTAAATAAATTAGTTGAAACGAAATATTAATTTACATACAATATAGCTACTGGAAACCCTTGAAAAGCATACCTGACACATTTTCAACGAAACAGAAAACAAAAATGAACTCATATTTTTTTTTAATAAGAAACTAAGAGGTGTTTCTTTACACTTGACATTATAGACTACTCAATGACTAGGCCAATTCGCGGTTTGTTCTGCAACATTTCTGAAAAGTGGAAAAGCGGAGCTTAGCGAGACCGTACGACGTTCCGTACTGCTTGTAACGGTACTCGCGTGTGACTGTCGATCGTCGCAAAGCTGTCCGACTCATGGAAAGTTGTTTTAATGTATGACATGAAACAGCTGAACAATTCAATCACAGCACAGTAGCAAAAGAGGAAACTTTTTTATACCAATCCAGCCATATCGTTTAAAAGTTTAAACGTTTGTGGATCTGTTCATTCACGTTTGGCCGTATTATAAAAACGAAAGAGTTAATATGAGGTACAATATGAATACAAGGTATAATATGAGTGACAATAGATTGAACTGTAAACAGTAGGCTGCGGCCGCATCGCCACGACCGCACCGCCGTGAAGACACATATAGTAGAGTATAATTTTATAATAAACTAGCGACTCGACCCAGCTTAGCCTTGATAGGAGTTATTAATGTAGGCTTATTTAAATTTAAGATAAAGACCATCTAATATATAAAATTCTCGTGTCGAGGTGTTTGTTCCCAAACTCCTCCGAAACGGCTAAACCGATTTGTATGAAATTTTGTGTGCATATCGGGTAAGTCTGAGAATCGGCCAACATCTATTTTTCAAACCCCTAAATGATAAGGGTGATCCACGCCTAAATATTTTTTTTTTTTAACAATTTTTTTATTTTTATTTTATTATGATTTAGCATTGAATATATTGCACAGTATACATAAATTGCACATTGATAAACATCCAAATCTGGACGGATAGAGAAAATGTTATACACACACATTGCGGAATTATAACCGGCAGATTGAAGTACCATAGCCAACGCTTAGCAACTACATTACCGTGGAGAAAATTTATATGTAAAAGAAAAATATAATATAAAGGCAAACTAAATTCCGGACCGATACGACTTAGCGACCTACAAGAAAAGTGCCTACTCCTTTTTAAAAGGCCGACAACGCATCTGCAATTCCCCTGGTGTTGCAGTTATTAATGGGCGGCGGTAGTCACTTACAATCTGGTAAGCCGTATGCTCGTTTGCCCCTCTCCTATAAAAAAATCTACAGAAACCAACTAGAAAATGAAAAAAAAAATCTCAAAAATTATTTACTAATAGAAAAATTAATAAAATCTTAAAAGCAGCATTTTGTATTTTCTTTATTAAGCTATTAACCATGTCAAGTTAAATATGATTTCCGAAATATTTTTAGGCTGCTTCGATACTCCATGGTGATACGTATTGGCGAAATTAACATGTCTTCGAAATATTTTTTGTGCCTCAGACTTTTCAAGTTTACTTCAGGTCAAATGTTTTCTTTCACCGCCAAGCACGGTAGACCACAGTACTTAAAACTACAAGTTACAATTTAATTAACCCCTGAGCTACTCATACAACGGCTCTGATGGTGAGTATAATTCAATCTCTACTTGTTAACTGGCACCTTCTTGAAATTACTTCTATATATTCAGCGTCGGCTTAAAAACGGCTAGTGTAAAAGAAGGAAAACCCTATTGTTAAATTATTATCTATTAATTTAAAATTTAATGTTTATATAGTCAAATATAAATTTAATCTGTGCTGTTAAACATTACAATAGACAGGTCATATTTAAAAAGATAACAAATGTGTTAAATAACTTTAAAAATCTTCGATAAAATTGCATTTAAGTATATGTTTTAATGTCCCTATTTCATCTCGGTAGTATTATACTCGTAAAAGGATAGAGGTGTAATTAGGTTTTTTTTTTCTATAGAAAATGCTCAGCCCCGCTGTCTGCGGTGATGTTATCGCCAAAGCGACGTCGTAAGCATTTTACGCATGGAAGAAAGAAGCGGAACGTAATGAGATAGTGCGGATCATCTGTCGAACCACCATCTACGATGTAACGCGACGGCGTAACTAGAGAAGAGATGAAGCCAATCAAACCTTAAGTGACTACGCGCCTTTTGAGTAACTAACGGAAGTCAATGAGTCCTCGTGTAGTAAGAAATTTATTTATTTTATAATAAATAAGTTAAAATATAAACAATCATTTTTAAAAACAAGCTAATAGATACGTTCACAATCTCTTGAAATTAGAATAACTTCACGTATTTTGCTTGAAAACCCCTCGAAGATTGCAAAATTTCATCTGAATTGCTTAGATGGAACTGGTCTAAAATAATTTGCCAGATATGACCCACACATACCAACAGGTGTGGGTAAAAGCTTGTAAAAATCGCATCGTATTAAGATCGAAAGCAAAATCAGACTACTTTGGAAATTACGGACCACATAGAAGCGGAGATATCAGCGAAAATATTTTTCTCAGTTTGGATCACCACAACCACTAGTTGATATGGTCAATACGATTTGTCTTGATCGTCACGCTTTACGATTGCAGTAAA